AAGGTAAGCTGTTTGAAAAATGAGTTTATTTTGAAGTGTTATTAACTAAATATATTGGAAACCAAAGTTTTTCAGCATGCTGGGTTCCAGGATAAACAATATCAAACATACACAATGACTATATATGTGCTGTAGAGAATGTAATCTTTCGCGCTTTTGAGGCGAATCTGTTAGAGTTTGCGAATAGTTGTCTCGTTCATAATTATCTTACTTTTACGAGGAAAGAAATTTTTGCATACTTTCTTAAAACCAAAATTTTCTAGCATGCTGGGTCGACTTCCATGTTAAACAATGAGGACGTTGAGATCTCCGATACTGTAAAAAAACTAAGTAGTTCTTCGAGGGTTTCAAGGACTTCAAACACGGCGAGACAGTTTTCTCTCGGAGAAAATTGGCTTAGTTAGGGGAAAGGAATGTTTGCATACTTTAAAACCGAAGGTTTTTTAGTATGCAGAGTTAATTTCCAGGATATCTTCTATAGAAATCAATGATGAATCATGTTGTTTTCATTTTAACTATATAGAAATATCAGCAGTCTTTTCAGTTGAATTGGCTGTTAGGTAAAATAGGTTAATTAAATCCACCTTGTATTCATATAAATATCACAACACCCGGGGCAATGTACGGTTTTAATAACTTCGAAGCCAAACTTTTTTCACGCTGCGATTTCAGAGGTAAAAAGACAAAACATTTCAGTAAAATTAAAAAATATAGATGATGGAAAAACCACCAAGTAAACTGAGCATAACTAATTAAAATTACGTTAATTAATTCATCGTCTTCCCGAGTTGGAATAGAAACTACCTCCGCCAGCGAATTAATCATGCATAAATATAAATTGTACAATGGGCTTTTCAGTTTGTCTCATGGCAAAGCAAGACAAACCTAGCTTTGCTTATTTCTCATCCAATTTTCATCCAAATTTGACCAAAATTTTATCAGTTTATGTCCTTGGGCAATGTCCATTTGTGCCACAAATTTTCGTAACATGTTTTTTTTTCATTTTTTTTACGTTATTGCACGATAACAAAACGAGAACAATTTGACAGACAAACACGTACACACGTTGACGAAAACATACAGCAACTGGCAGAGGTAAGAATTTCACTCTTCTTATTGCCTGTTTCCGACTCTATAAGTTCAAAAATCACTTATAGCAATATTTGGATTTGAGTAAAAATTACATGCAACAGTGCACGTCAAATGTCTATAAATTTTAAGAAAAATAAGAGCAGTTCTTCTATACAGTTTTTAGTACTTTTACAGTGTAATATCATCGGCCGGTTGTATGAAGGCCGGATAGCGCTATCCACCGGACACAGTGATTTTTATGCTTTCCAAGCATTTTTTGACACAGTGATAACTGTTGTAAAAATGCTTGGAAAGCTGCAAAGGATAACCGTGATAAAAACCTTCATTTATAAATGCCGAATTTTAATCTGGGTGTTACCAAATTTTCCAGCGGACAATTTTAAAAATTTGAAAAAATCAGCGGTACCCGGTCTTCGTATAGCCGACCCCAGGACAACCCCTCCCCTCCTTGCGTTCCATCTCTCGTTGGATTGGGGCAAGGGGGCAACCACACACTCTGCCACGGACCCCTCCAGTTAGAATGTATCATCTTCATCCAGAATTTGGAATGCCCATTCGGTCGATGATGAACTTCTTAGGAAAATCTACAGTGCTTCGCCAAGTGGGTGTCAGGAAGGACGACTGTCCCCCATGCCCTCGAATGGAGAAGAAAGGCAAAGGTGCCCTAAATAAAGTTGACTCATACTAGCCGAATTTGATCCTGCAAATTCAGTAACCTAGATTAACACTCTACCAACTGAGCCATCGAGTCAAATGAGGAAAGCACAAATCAAATCCAACTGTGCACCCCGACAGAAATTCTCAATTTCCGTTAAAAAATTAGGGCCAGGGAATTTGATTACTGTAATAACAAAATCCTTGAAGCTTTTCAAAATCACCTTACAAACAGCTAGGTTCGGGTAAAACGATGCAGTGTTTGCTATAAGACAGCTGACTTTACGTAATACCTCTAACGTTGCAACAATCTTACACGTTGCTCCAAAAACGTGAAAAGCTAGGGTTAACGTTGTATATAGTGAGAATGACAACGCTGTCGAGGGTATCCCTATGGGATCACAGATTCTTCAAGCTATAGTTTTTGTCTTACATGAAACATTTCTTTGTTTCGAAGGTGCTTCGTTGGGTTGCCGCGTCGTTGATCTTCGTTGTACTCTCTATTAAGTTCAAGAGAAGCTGTGAAAGAGCAGCAGGGCCTTCAAACAATCTTATATACCGACTGTTTCAGATGTATAATTGAACTATACCCATTCCTGCTGCGAGCAATTAAGGGTCATTGATAAAGGAGTGTTTCTGGCTTAACAGTGCTGGACAGTACAAATGCGAGCAAATGAATACGGTAAATATTCACAGCGGGGAGGCAATACATGCATCCCTGTTGGCTGTCAAGAACAATTTTCGCGCCACTTTGGCAGTCGTAGTGTACATTTATGTTATGGCGACAAAATTAAGAGACAAGTTATGCTTTGCATGGGCTGGCGACTTTGAATGCCTAAAGCGGTTTGTTAGCGAAGATCTGCAGCTCAATGGAACATGGTCTCAACCTGGCGGTGACAAAAAGCTATTTACCTTTGATGATTCAGTAATAATATGGAAAAAGAATAAAAACTTGTTGTATCTTGATGGCGAGAAAGCGGGCGATGTTATGAAGGAATTATGCAAGCAGATATGTAAGCAGGACGAGGACATTTCAGTTGATAAGCAATCAAGCATGCAAGATGTTTGTGAAGACTTCGAAAGTCTTAAGCTTGACCAATTAACCAATTCCGAAGCGATCCAAGCTATATCGGAATCGATTTCTAACATAGGACCGGCAATTCGCCAATTTCAAGAGTTTATGGATAGAAATAAAAAGATTCCCGATGATGAATTTCGGACTGAGTCAACAATTATAACGAACGAGTCTTTTGAATATGCAAATCGGGAAAACATCTGTAATGGTAACAAAGCTAAAGTATGCAGCCCTATTGTCTCGAATGAACTGATTAATCCTACCGAGAACAATGGGTGTGATCATACAATACCTAATGAAAATGCCTCTACTTCATTTGAAAGAGTAGAACCTATAGAATTGTCGAACGATGTGTTTACTGCATCTCGTCCTATATCAACTAATGATTCAATTGGCGCTGAACAAACTAAAGTGGAAGGACATCAGATGACATATGCAAAAGTAGCAGCATCTTCTCCTGTCTCTAAAAATCGTAAATCTATGGCAATGCCTAAAACGAACAAAATACCCACATCTAGCCCCCAGAATTCACAACGTGAAATTGACGAGTTGTCTAGTGACCTCGATGGCTTTATTGGTGTCAAACGAAATAGAAGTAAAACCAAGAAATTTCTCGTAACAGGTATAGACGAGAATGTGAAAGAAAACCAAATCTTATCTTTTCTTAATAAACGAAATATAATCCCGACTTATATTTCCATTTTCAAAAGTCGACGCAGGGGAACAATCTCATCTAAGATCCATGTTCCTTCGGCCGTCAGTTCCCTGCTTCAGGAAGATAATTTCTGGCCTAAATACATAAGTTGTAAGCCATGGAAATCGAAAGAAACACAAACTATGTGGTCAAAGAAAAGTAGCACCCATCTTGGGAAATATTCAACCTACGTATAATGGCTCATATTCCAGTTATAATCTCATCACGTAATTATAGATATAAACGAAATAGGCGCAACCCTACCAACCTAATTACTTTAAACATTTCAAAACGGAATCCTAGACCGACTAATCAAACCGGTAATAAACTATATCTAACATGCCAACTATCCTCCTAACGAACATATGTCACATTTCGAACAAAGTTGACGATCTACACGCTATTGTTGAAATGAACAGTCCCTCCTTGATTATGATTACAGAGTCTTGGCTGAATACAAATATACCCGACTCTGCTATAAGCATTGGAAGAATGTTCAATACCTATCGGCGCGACCGACTTACACCAGGAGGGGTGTATTAGCATATGTGAACGCTTGTATACCAACTACATGTCTAAAAAATTTAGAAGAAGATAACAGAGAGGTCCTATGGCTGCTTCTTAAACCCCCCAGAACCCCTAGGCCTTTTAGCGTTATAGTGGTAGTTGGCGTCTACTTCCCCCAGGGCAGTCGGCAGAAAGTGAAAGAGAACTGATTGAGTATATTACTAGGGGACTTGATTCTGTCTTACGCGATTACCCGTCTGCTGGTGTATGCATAATGGGAGACTTCAATCAAATGAAGCTGAGTAGACTATGCAGAAGATTTAACTTGAAGAAGTCTGTAAAAGCACCGACAAGAGGCACCAGAGTTTTGGACCAAATACTAACGAACATGTCAGATTTATATAAAGAAGTGGTGCACCTGCCTCCAGTTGGTCGCTCTGACCATCAATGTTTGTTGTATAGTCCCAAAACAATACAAACCGTGAAGCCTTCTACTCGAAAAGTGCGCCTAACGAAACCATGTAACCTAAATGCACTCGGCCTAAAATTAAACCTTGAGGACTGGAAATCAATATTTGAGGCTCGAGATATCAATAACAAAGTTAGTCTTTTTACAAATACTATAATAGACATATTAGATAAAACAATACCTGTAACCACGATACGTACCCATGCGTCTGACAAGCCATGGATGACGGCTTATATCAAAAAAGAGATTAAAGCGAGGCAAAAAGCCTATACTACTGGGAACATGACCAAATATAGACAATTGGCTGATAAGATCATTACACTTATCAAGAACGCTAAAGCAGAATTTTATTCATCTAAGGTTAAAAGCAAACGCAAACACGATGCAGCAAAGTGGCATAGAACGATATCCCTGTTAGCTGGCTTTGAAGGTGACAATCTAAACAACAACTTAATCTCAGACGGCACTCCCGATACAGTGGAAATACTGCAGAATATATTTACTAAACCATGGTCAAACTTCCTGAAACCATAATCCCTAGTCTTGAAGACGTGGCGTCATCACCGAGGCAAGAAAATCCTCCTACTCCCTCAATTGGACAGGTTAAGACTGCCTTGAAACAACTAAACTCTAAAAAAGCCACCGGGTCCGATGGGATTCCCGCATGGGTGCTTAAACGATACTGTGAAGAACTAGCGCCCATCGTTCATGACATTATTTGCGCCAGTATAAAAGAATGTGAATATCCAACTGCGTATAAACATGCCTTAGTTATCCCAGTTCCGAAGGTCAATCCACCAAGAGATATCGAGAATGACTTTCGCCAGATATCCATTCTTCCCCAAATGGCTAAAGTGCTGGAAAAGCTGCAGCTCAAACTGAACCTTCCCAGTTCACGTATAAATGATAATCAGCATGCCTTTACAAGCAAACGATCAACCGTGTCCGCACTCACCAACATCTCGCAGAACTGGTTTAATGTGACCGACAATACGCATAGCGCCAAAAATGGAGTTCATGCACTATTCATAGATTTTCGCAAAGCGTTTGACCTTGTTGACCACGGAATTCTACTTCGTAAGCTCGCAGAAATGAATGTAACCAAAGCCATTTGGCTATGGACACGTAGTTTTCTGGAAGATAGAAGACAACAGGTCAAACTAGCAGGAACCCTATCATCGAACAAACCTTGTCCTGCAGGAGTCCCACAAGGTTCTGTGATGTCCCCAGCTCTTTTTAATATTCACATTAACGATATTGAGAACTCAATCCCAGATGGATTATCCATAAATATATGCAAATACGCGGATGATTGTACACAGGACGAAGTGGTGTCACAAGGTTCATCCAGCCATATGCAGGAGGCCCTTGAAGCAGTACAAGAATGGTCTAATAGGAACAAAATGACGATAAATTCGAAGAAAACAAAATATATGTGGATATGTTTTAACACAGCAATAC